CCAAAGGCCCTGCTCAGCAGCTACTTCTACAATCAGTTTGTGCATTTCCCACATAGTTGATTGTTTCATGAGTAAAGGTGGGTTTCTCGAGCTACAACGTAACCAAGTTGCTTCTGTTTGCAGTGCTTAATAATCCAAGTAGTAGATTATTAGATTAACAAAGGAGACTTGCCGATTAAAGCTTTAAGGTATTTCTCCACTTAAGAACATGACTTTATTTGCAAAGATCTTCGTGCAGTGCTAAAGAGCAGCTGTCTCCTGCTGAGATCTCTTCAGCAGCAGGAAGCAACTTGGGCTGTTAAAGAGAGAAAGCAGGGAAGGGCTTTGGGCAGAGCAGACTTCACCCAGCTCAGCCTCACCGTGTCACGTAGCCTGTTTCAGCTGTGTTTTTACACCCCGTGCCCTGCCGTGGGGTTGGGGTTCACTTTGGAGGGTTGGGGGGGGAGCTGAAGGGGTGAACGTGGAACCAGACTAGGAGGTAATGTGGGATGTTGCTGTTGATGCAGGCTGGAGGCTGATGGGAAGATGTACGTCAAGTACCAGGTGATCGGGAAGAACAACGTGGCTGTACCCACCCACTTCTTCAAGGTGCTCATCTTGGAAAAGGAGAGTGGGGAGATCGAGCTGCGCTCGTACGTGATGCCCAACAGCCCTGTAGATGACAAAATCCCTCTGGAACGGTTCCTGGTCCCCATCGAGAGCATTGAACGAGCCTCAGGGCTCCTCTTCGTCCCAAACATCTTGAAGAGGACAAGTAACTTGAAAGCCATCACAGCTGGAAGCAAGCGTTGAACCCCAGCTGAGTACATGCAGGTATCCCCGGGGAAGGGACTGACAGCAGTCATACACAGGAGTAATAGTTCCTTGTGCAGTTTTAAATGTGGGAAACGAGAATCAAACCAATGTTCCCTTTACCCTTTCCCTCCTTCCGTGTAACAAACGTGCACATGCAGCTGGTCTCAAGGGCAGGTCCTGCAGCAGGGCTCTAGGTTGCCCCTGAGCTGCAGTACAGAGGTTACTCCCATGACTGCTCCCTTTGTGCGTGGCTCATCAAGACACAGAGGGAAGTTACTTAATTGCTGCCATTTAGCAGGGAAGGTTGGGAGCAAGATGGGTGCAGGAGAGGAAAGGCGAGGTTCCTGCCTTTCTGTGGCCAAAGGATTGTATGATTGTTTTCTTTCAAAAGATGGTTTTAGCAGTAAAGCTTTGAACACCCACACTACTGGTGGTTTCTTATCTGCTCTCACCAAAAGTCTGAATATCTCAGCAGGAGGAGGGGAAGACACAGCCAACTTTTCCAGCTGCTTTCCTGTTTGAGCTCACTGTAGGCAGAGCCTAAGGCATCACAGATGGAGCCAAACTAATGAGCTGTGCTGACGGGCTTTAGCACTGAGGTCCAACTGAAGCTCCAGCCCTTCCTGCTGTTGGGGAGGATGAAGCCTTGAGCTAAAGGGAGGGTGGGGGGAAGTCAAGCTGAGACAGAACCAGCTTCTTGGCATAAGGGTTAAGTTTTGCCTTAAGTCTGAAGGCCACAGGGCTCCAGAGGCACCGAGCATGCAGGATCTCTGGACACTGAGTGCCCATCCTCTGCACCAAGACACTCACACATGGACTTCAAGGCAGCTGAGATTCCTACTGCTTTATTCCCCACCCCAGATGCCTGAATGGTTGAGATCCTGCTGCCAGGCTCGTCCCAGCTGCAGAGGGGCAGCCACCAGCCCTTGGCAGGACCATGCAGGCAGGAGAGCGCAGACTTGCTGCTCCCAGCAGCAGCCAGAGGCTCGGTCGAGCAGCGCCTCCAGCTTTAGCCACCGTGTCTTGGCCCCGCCAGGCTCTTGGAGTGACGTGCCCAGCACCCCGTGTCTGAACAGCGGCTTTCCCCCCGCGGGCTCCACCGACAGCAGGG